CTAGTAAAGTATATAGATAGTTATGTCTTTATTTGGCTGTATACCTTAAAATTAATGTCTGTAATATCCAATGATGACTCTTTATTTTCTACCTATCTATCTCAGTGGTATATAATATCCACATATCTTCCCATCAAGCAGACAGATCACCATGTTGTCAGCATGTCAGTCACAAACCCATCTCTCTGTATTCATAATTATTGAATTTCCAGCTGTCAGGATTCCCAACTCAAAGGGCATATATTTAGCACAAGGGGTTATATATCCATCAGTTGAGAAACCAATGCTCAGAGGTTATTTACACAACCATTTTGAAGTAGTGAGATACAAGTATGGAGGAACTCTAACATGGTGATAAAGTATGTGTTCTGGATACAGAAAGTCCCAGCCTTAAGCCTAGCTCCCATTTAGAAAACATTTTAGGGAGCCACTCTCAATGCATATCTGTTATGCCAAATCCTAGCTCTCCAGGATTCTTGGGCTACAGTCTCCAGAATCCCTGACCATTGGCCATACTGATTGGAACTTTTGGGAGTTGAAGTCCAGAAAAAAATCTGTAGCCTAAAAAAAACTAAGACCACTGATCTAACACAGTAAAACACAGCTATATATGTTTATGTGAGGAGAAATCCAATGACTTACATGCACGTATGAACTGATACTTAGTGGTTCTAACAATGATCTTTTAACCAGCTTTCCTATAACATATCATTATTCTAGGACTTTGCAACTGTATTCCCCTACAAAAATAAATCATAGCATCTCTTGATCTAATACGGCTGCCTTGAATTAGTTCTACATATTAGATGTGTGGGCAATATAATATTGTTTAAGGTTTATCTTTCTCTGATTTTAAAATGTTCTAACTGAAATCTGGATAAGCCATTAACAAACATCTGTAATCCTCAGAGAGTGCATTCTGGTCTAAACTGGATATTGTTGCCTTGTAACCTCATTCTGAGATTTGGAGAGAACATAGGCCTAAGTATTTTACCACACACTTGGGCATGTGTTGCCAAACTCTTCTGGCAGTTCTGTGGTTCTTCCACAGCAGAGTTCATGCAAGAGAAAGAAACCAAGTGAAAGGAGAGAACTGGAGAAGTTGACTATTTGAAAGGAAATTAAGAAGAACTTGGGGTTGAATAAAACTGCAGGTTATGAATAA